GCGATTTTGCGCTATCATACTGGGTGTATGGTCGGCTGTGTGCGATTTTGCGAGTGTGGTAAAATCGCATAACAGCAAAATCGCATAACAGCCGAGCATACACCCAGCAGCGCTGCTGATGCCTGACCGGTATGTGGAATGAAGTGGGCGGGCATCGGGAGGCCACTATGGAACGGGGCAAGCACTATGGGCAGTCTGTCTGAAGTGTACCTGGCGTATAAGACGACCCCCCACTTGGAGGTATATTTTTCAGGGCCATAAAATCGTCTTATACGCCGGCAAATACGGTACTTGTGATTCATAATTTTTTTCCTAAACTGCTGTAAAATCAGCAAAAATGCCTTGGCAATTTTAGCATAGTTCCTAGGATATTGGTTGGCACTCAAAGGGTTAAGGGACTATATTTTTTAAATCCTCACCCAAGGATATGCCTGTTTATTTTAGAGAGGGGGTGGGGAGAGATACATCAATGGGAGAGAGAAACATCGATTGGATGCCTCCCATACCCACCCCAACTGGAAATAGAACCCACAACCTAGATTATGTGCCCTGACCAGGAATCAAACCCGCAACCTTTCAGTGCATGGGACAACAACCAACTGAGCCACCAGGCCAGGTTTAAGGGACTTTTATCTAAAGAGAAAAGTGCTCTTATCACAGGAAATCATTTAAGACTTTATATATTAAGGTGATAGTACTGCCGATAGCAGTTTATAGATTCAGTGCAATCCTTATTAAAATACCAACAGCATTTTTTCCAGAAATAGAAAAATCCACCCTAAAATTCATATGGAATCCCAAGGAATCCTGAGTAGCCAAGACAATCTTGAAAAAAAAGAAAAAGTTGTGAGACTCACAACTTCTTGATTTCAAAACATAATATAAAGTTAGTAATCAAACCAGCATGCTACAGACGTATATAAACCAATGGAACAGAAAAGTGCCCAGAAATAAATCCTCACATATGTGGTCAATTGATTTCCAACAAGAGTGTCTGAGACCATTCAGTGGAGCAAAGGAAAATCTTTCAACAAATTGTGCTGGAAAAACTGGATATCCACATCCAAAAGCATGAAGTTGGACCCTTACACCATATACAAAATTGAACTCAAAATGAGTCAAAGACCTAAATGTAAGGACTAAAACTATAAAACCTTTTGAATAAACTATAGAGGAAATTCGAAATGACATTGGATTTGGCAGTGATTCCTTGAAATTGATACCAAAAACACCCGCATCAAAAGAAATAATAGATAAACAGGGCTTCATCAAAATTAAAAACTTTTGTGTGTCAAAGGACATTATAACAGTGAAAAGTCAACCCACAAAATGGAAGAAAATATTTGCAAATCATATATTTAGCAAGTGATTGACATACAGAATATATAAAGAACTTCTACAACTCAGTAACAATAAAAAACAGCTCAGTTTACAAATGGGCATAGGTACTGAATAGGTATTTCTCCAAAAATGTACAGATATCCAATAAGTACATGAAGAGATGCTCAAGATCAGTAGTCATTAGAGATATGCAAATCAAAGTCACAATGAGATACCACATTGCAAACATTTGGTTGGCTGTAACCAAAAAGGAAAAAAAGGAAACGAGAACCAGTCCTTCCCCCTCTGGTTCATG